AAAAAAAAAACAAAAACAAAAAATTCGATCATGGATTACCAAAAAAAAAAAATTCGATCATGGATTACAAAAAAATCGATCAAGTATTACAAAAAAATCTATAATGGATTACAAACAAAAAAAAAAATCCGTACGGGACTCGCCGATTCCGTACAGTGAATCGGCGAGTCACTGTACAGAATCGTCCGGTTCTCTCTAGAACCGGACAATTCCCGTTTTTTTTGTTGATTCGATCCGTCCATGGCGATTCCCAAGTCGAACCGGCGTTTTTTTAAACGCTGGTATCCACTAACAAACAGGAGGTTTAGGGCACGTAGTGTTATGAGCCGAGCTAGGGTCAATATAAATGGTTTTGAGAACTCTTTCTCCATCATTCAAAAAAAACAAACTTGTGTAGGAAGATTTTTTCGATCTGGATTTGTTGGGTCCACAAATACCAAATAAGTATTTTTAAAACAAACGAAGTTACATTTTGTGTCCCTAAACACTCATCTGACAGCCCAAAAACTAAACAGTTTTTATTCTACAATATAATTTTATTATTTTGTTGTTCTATCTTAGAACGTTGCTCTTTCTAATTGATTTCTAGGTGCTTTGCATATAATTTTGTTTCTTTTTTTTTTTTCTTTTTTCTTTTAGTAGAAGTTCATAGCTAGGTTGAGGATATTTGGATTTAAGAACCCTCTTAGATGCGGAAAGAAGAATCCCAAAAATTGGATCACACCAAGATCGTGTACTTATCCAGCTAGAAACAAAATAGGAGAGAGCACGAGTCATAATACTAGAAATGAATCATGAAATATACATCACAAGAACATAAAGATTTACGTAGTTCACCCAAGAGGGCTACATCAATGGGTTTGGGAAACTGAAATCCACAATACCAATGAAAATTACATTACAGATTTTGGGACATAGAGTTACCTCTATAACGCTTGATAAAACCCCAGATTTTGGGGCATAGAGTTGCCTCTTGTAAACGGATACACATAATCATCCAAATTTTTAGGTTCTCCCTAATATTGTGGTCATTCTCGTTCAAAAAGTTGTAACAAATAAAAAGTCAAATACATTCAAAATATTGTTCCAACAATACATGATATTATTGGGACAATATATCCCATGTATATCCAAAAGTATAGATATCGTTGTTTATGTTGCAAATTGGAGATATCTTAAAAGGAAGATCCCTCAGATCTGAACACCACAAACCAATTTTTTAAGAGAGTGATAGAGAGTGGGACAATCAAATTTTGATCAGAGAACATATCTCCTCAAAAATGAGTAGATTTGCTCGCAAATCAGTGGTAGAGCTAGTATTGATCCAAAATACGAAATATTATGTAAAAAGCAATAAAACTAATGTAATTCTAATAAAATAAATAATAATATAAAAGAAACACAAGAAAGAATAAAAATATACTAGATCGGGCCAGTTGGCCCGGAACTCCTGAGGCTTCGAGGCCTCGTCTGTATCAAGACAGACTGAGTTTACGTAGTGCGCCATTTTTGTCTCTCTTCAGGTTTTGACCAAGCCTTTACTTGGTTGAATGGATTTCTTGATCTAAGGGCTGCAAGTAGCCTAAAGGTTGAGTTTTTCTAAGTTTAAGGTTTTCTCAGGCTTCATGATCTCTATGTTTTTTCTAAGCATAAGGGTACAAATCAGGTCTAAATGGTCTCTAGCGTCTAAGAGTCTCAAGGGTCTCAAGAGTCTCAATAGTCTAACCTAAAACGATTATGAAATGACCCTTTTATAAGCAGAAAATCGTCTGAAATATATAACATACCATAACCAGAAGATTTTCAAGCCTGGATTGTCGTTTTTGGTCAGTTTGGGTTGGGCAATACTAGGAACGTCGCTCAGAAAAAATCTGCCCAAAATTAGTTGATTCCTATATGGGCTAATTTTGGGGCTGTCGGGATGTTGGCTGCCAAATATCAGCCGATTTGGGTCAGTTTGGGCTAGGAGACACTGGAAGCGTCGCCCAGACCAGATCTGCTTAAAATCGGTAGATCCTGTCTCGACTGATTTTGGGGCTGTCGGGATCCTGCCTGCCAAAAACCAATCGATTTGGGTCAATCTGGGCTGGGCGACACTGGGAACATCGCCTAGACCAGATCTGCCCAAAATCGGTAGATCCAGTATGGGCTCATTTTGGGCCTGTCAGGACCTGCTTGCCAAAAATCAGTCGATATGGGTCAATCTGGGCTGGGCAACACTGTGAGCTTCGCCAAGACCAAATCTATCCAAAATGGAAAAGTTCTTGCTCTAAGGTGATCTACGGGTTATTGTGATGCTGCCTCCCAAATTTTGGGTCAAAACGAGATGTTTTGATATTTTTAATGATTTTTTACTAAAATCAGGGCATTTTACTTGATTCTTTATCACAGTGCATGCATTATGAACTATGGTGGTCTATGGTCTAGGGGTTTTCTAGGATAGTGTGGTCCTAAGGGTTGTCTAAGGTTTGAAAATCATAGAATTTACTAGTAATTAAAAATGAGGTGTCTACAATATTGTGTTATAAATATACAATCTCATCTCATGTGAAAGTCAAGAAAGTGAGATAAAGACTTCTTCAAAATATTTGGGTCATTCTATTACCTCTATAACCCTCAACAAAACCCAGTCGAGTAAACCCTTTTAGATCAAGTCTCCCGATCTGCATCATCATCGACCTCTCATCTCTATTCCACAGTTAAAACATTGTCCATGAAGAAATCCCTTGAGAGCAATCGAGATTTTCTTTCACTAAAAGTAGAAACGACCCAAAATCTTCATGGGAACCGTTTCTCTACAAGAACAAGTATCTTAATCTACAAGATCTATAGAAGGCACATCGGGACGTTTCTCTCCATCTACCTCTCTCTCTAGAGGAAGTCACATTTCTCATATGATGATCCAAATAGGGCACACAAATTCTCTACACTTTCATCTCATATAAATAAAGCTATGAATCCACATCAAATAAAAAACTTTCTATAGATGTTATATACATTTCAATAACCAAGAGATATATTTCAAAGTCCTGACCTTTTTGGATTTCTATTTCCATTAAGAAACTTATCAATATCAAGCTCAATCTCACATAATATGGGATTTTCTTGGGTGATTTTGGATATTACCATATCCAAACATAGGAGACCTCTCAAAACTTAGGATCCTAAAATCCCCACGGTTGGGCTGTAACAGAGGAAGTGAACAAACACTAGGGTATACTTTCCATGAATCTACATTTTACATATATCTCCATACTAGAATATTTTCGTGTGTATATTTGTAGTAAAAAGAATATATAATTGGGTTATATTGGGATCATATTAAAAAAGTCCTTAGGGCCTCTCATGCTCTCTCCATCCAACATCTTAAAGGGACGGTGATGGCCCTAAGGATCATGGTTCTTCAATAATCCTAGGGACCATATCACACTTTTCGTTCTTGTTTTATTATTCGCGTCCAGCGAGGTAAAGCAAAACCGGATAGATAAAGAAAGGTTTAGAAAGAACCACGTAATCCTTCATGCCTTTTTCCCGGCGACTGTGGGAAAAGAAATGCTGGAATCACAAATATCTTCAGCTACGAATTTGGAAGCTCAAGAAAGAGAGAGAGAGAGAGAGAAAGAGAGCTAATATAATTTAAAGAGGGAGACAGAGGGAAGGGTTGTTACGAATGATCTACAGCTAAGGAAACGCACCTTCGCCATGTCTGATGAGAAGAAACCAGGTGCTTCGACCTGGGTTGGTGGGGTGTTCGAGAGGGGAATCTACGCCGTCCAAACACTGAGGATAGAATCGATTCCGTCAAATCCTGTGTCCCCGCCAAAACCCCTTCTGATCACCGCCCCCACCGCGAGCGGAGAGTATCCGCTCTTTCTCTTCCTCCACGGATACCTCCTCTACAATTCCTTCTACTCCCACCTCCTCTGCCACCTGGCGTCTCACGGCTTCATCGTTATCGCGCCTCAGGTCCACTCCCCCAACTTTCCTTCTTACCTTCCTTTGCTACTGATTTTTTGTGCGGTGCTAATTCTAGAATCATTCGTTGAAAATATATATTATTTAATCTTCAATTGGTATCATCGGCCTGTTCCCATTCATATTTGTTTTTCTTTTACCACTTTTTTTTGGGTGGAATCCAAGTTTTTTTAAATAAAAAAAAAATCAGGTTGGAACATGAATTTCCCAAAATTCATGTTTTTAAGACCAGATTAGAACGTCATGATCCAGGTTTTTAACAATATTTATTGCGTGAGAAACTGGGTCTAAATTTGGATAAGGACACGGTTTTTGCTAGTCCAATGCGGGCTCTTTAATAATTTATTTTAAAATAAAATTTGATCCGCATTTTTAAACAATTTATAATGTTTAAGAAAATGACCAGCCCCTCCCAGGTTATGTGTATAAGACTTAAAAAGATTACCATTAAATTTATTACGGATATCTAAAAATTAAGTTCTACACGCATGTATGTGATAACTTTTCTAAAATTTGATGTCAAATTTAATGATGGTCTTTTTAAGTCCAACCTATATGGATGTGGAAAGGTTTCCTAAAATCATTAATCTAATTTTTAATATGGCGATTATTAATATATAAAAATAAATAAATTTTAAAAACTAAAAATGATATTTTTTTTGGGAGAAGATATTTGAAGAGCTGATTTACTTTTTCTTTAGAAGACTATTTATTGAGGGGTGGAGTATCCGATTTTGGAGGACGGTGTAGATCTCCAAGCTCACATAATAATAGGTTTGGGCTTCAATGCACCAAACAATTTTCCTTTGAATAACCAAAGAGTCTTTAAAAAAAAAAAATCACAATTTTTTAACCTTAGGTTGGAACTTCGTGGTCCAGACCCATTTTTTTTACAAAAGTTTCTGGTTAGAACTCAGGAGTTCTAACTCCAAAATAAGAAAAATAAAATAAAACCGTGGGTCATAAATGAACAGACTAGGAGTGTTGGAAAAAACAAAAAACACAATAAAAGGGACATCGGTGGAAAATCCAAAATATATTTTTAAAAACAGCTAAAATTAAGAGATATAAATTAAAATTTCCGCCATCTGAGGTAATTAACGATTGCTGTTTTCTTTTTTTATCATTCAAATGTAGTATTCTTGATATATATTCTGTAAACTGCCCATGCGAAAATCAGTGAAAAGATTTCAAATGAATTATTCTTGATACACTCTACAAACCGGCCATTGGAAATAATGAGAAGATAAAATAAAAAAAAATATTGCGCATCCGGGGAATCGAACCCCGGGCAGTACCGTGGGAGGGTACTATGATACCACTAGACCAGATGCCCTACGCATACCTTACTATTATATATACTGTTCGTTGTCAGTACTGAACGGTGGAGATGAAGCACTTCTCCACTCCATTAAGATCCAAGAAAACGCCAATTCATTTCTATCATCTGTTAACTGGAGGACCACCAATGTGTTGCATGAGTACCATACTATCCCATTTCTCTTATGCTTCTCTCCCAACAGCTCTACACGGTCGCCGGAGCAGATTGTACGGCCGAGATCAACTCCGTCGCCGCCATCAGCAACTGGTTCCCAACGGGCCTCCCCAACGCCCTCCCAAAAAACCTAACTCCTGACCTCTCAAAGCTGGCTATATCAGGCCACAGCCGTGGTGCCAAAACCGCCTTCGCACTCGCCCTTGGCATTTCCACCACCACGACCCTCAAGTATTCAGCCCTCCTCGCCATCGATCCGGTTGATGGCCCTGCTCCAGGTCAGCAGAGCACGCCCCCGGTGCTCACCCACGAGCCAAATTCCCTTGTCACCCAGATGCCCGTGTTGGTCGTGGGCTCGGGGCTGGGTCACCTTAAGAAGAACCCTCTCTTCCCACCTTGCGCGCCAAATGGTGTCAACCACGCCGATTTCTTTCGAGAGTGCCAGCCTCCGGCTTGGTACTTTGTGCCATCGGACTACGGACACCTGGACATGCTGGACGATCAGACAGACGGTATACGCGGCAGGGCAACATATTGTTTGTGCAAGAATGGCGCGACCCGCCAGCCTATGCGACGGTTTGTGGGCGGGGTCATGGTGGCGTTTGCAAGGGGTTATTTGCAGGGGCATTTTGGGGATTTGAGGGCCCTAATTGAGGATCCCGGAACCAGCCCAGTGAAGCTCGAGGTAGCCCAGTTCCTCTCTCAGTAGAGTTCTCGTCTCGTTTTCATGTATAAAAAAACAGAAAAAATTTATATAAGGTTCCAACCTTACCTCTACACCTAGATGCACCTCAAAAATCCGTGGGAAAAGATAGTTTTAATGTTGAAAAACCTTTTTGATTGATCATCAATATGTATGACCATGAAAAATAAAAAGATTTTAAGTCTTAAAAATAGTGCATGTTACAGCATATTATATATACCGTCCATTCTCAATATTTTCATATGTTAATAGATCTACTTGATTTTCATCACTTTTTAAATTTAAAATTTTATAATTAGATATAAAAATAGATTTTGAAATAATCTTAGAAACATTTTATATCAAAATTATATACCATGATAAAATTTGAAGGTGCACCTTAATTCTACACCTACGGATGCATCTATATGCCAACTGTACCCATTAAAAAAATGGGACATGTTTGGAAAAAGCTTATGTCAACTTATGGGCTCATGGAATAGTGTAAGCTCAAGAACTCAGTTTGAATATAGATCAATCCAATTATCACAATTGTATTTTGTAATTGAATTTTAATTTTTTTTCTACAAATCCAAATTAATTGAAATTTGGAGCCTCTAGTTTTCAAAAATAGTAAACTCTAATAAAAATATCAAAAAATATAATTCACATAAATTAAATTGATCAAAATACCTCTAAATTTTCTGGGGGTATTTTGATCAATTTATTTTATATGAAATATTTTTTTAATATTTTTATTAGGTACGCATTGATGAGAAGAGTTTACGCTTCAAATTTCATGCTATTTGGATTTATATAAAAAATATTAAAATGATATTACCGATACACAGATCGGCCTATATTCAATATGGGTTATTGGGCTTGTACTATTCCATGCTCACCCTAGCATTTTCTTCCATATATATATATATATATATATATATATATATATATAATAAA